CCGTTAAAAAAAAAAAAGGGAAAGATTGCTGGTAAAGTGGACCTGTCATTACAATTCACACACACCAGTAGAGCACACATTGTTGAGTAAACACAAACAACTGCCATTTACTAAATGAAGAAAATAATCGTCCTTTGTGCGGCCTAAAATCTCGGCTATGATCACATGACCTCTGGCTATCAGCATCATTGTGAATGTTACACGTCATTGGAGACTGGAGGTCAGACAAGCCGTGTCTGGATCAGCAAGCCTCAATCAGGAAGCAGAGGCTGGATATATGAAGAGCGACATGGCTGCCCCCTGTATGTGTGTGAATGTGTCACCTAAACTATACAAAGAGACACAATGAGGCCGTAAATGGTCACATTGTAAAAAAAGGTTATAGTTCCTCCTTAAAGGGAGCCGGGCACTTTGACAATGTGATAGGGAACCTACGCGCTGTGTTATAGAAGAAACATGAAAGTGGCCACCGCCGATGTGCGCGCTCCGGTCACTTTCCATTATTCATGATCCAATAAAAAGCCGTAGGCAAGCATGCAGCCAGTGAAGGCAGAACGCCTGCTTGTGTTCGTCTTCCTGCAGTTCCAGAACCCTGAACACACAGGATGGGTGTCACTCACATCCCGGACTGAACTAGCACGCAACTGAGACTTCCTACAACAAGGCGGACACATACTTGATGTCAATGTGTGAGTCCGGGGGAGGGGGGGGGAAGCCTGCTGATCCTGCGCAATGCCCAACAGCTTTAGTCCCCGATCACGCCTACGTGTTTCGTTGTGTGTGCTTTGAGGCACGTTCATAGAACGCATTGAAAACGTGCGCCGCACTTGCCGTGCCATTAGCTGCGTGTTTTTCCTGCATACGGATGTGGGATGAAATGCGCAGAAATAAACGCAGAATCTGCCACACGAGCCGCTTTCCTGTGTTTGGGGTGCGTGCAACACCCAATGAGATCACAGAGAGAAGCGCAGACAGTTCCTGCATGAGACAAGCACAGGTCCTCTTTACAGAGGAGCCCCTCCCACACAAAGAGCTGAAAGAGGAGACCACTTAAGTGTCATGTCC